TATTGAGTCGCGCCCAGGGTTCGTGAGTGAATTTTCACACTTTCACTTTCACATGTGAATTCATGTGAATTTCACATGAAACGTTTCGGCCGCCCCCGTTTCACTGAAAATTTCACAAGTTCGACTACTTTCGAAGGCTCTGGCATCTCCGAGCGACGGTCCGAGGCGGCAGCGGCGGAGCCGGAGGTGGCAGCAGTCGAGGCGGCAGCAGTCGAGGCGGCAGCGGCGGAGGCGGCAGCGGAGAGAGCGGCGGTGCGCCTACCACTGCCGGCACCGGTAGGGATCTCTGTGCCACCAATGCCGCGCGTTCCTGCTTCCCTGCAGCGAGGCCGTGGTCAAGGCCGTGGTCGTCCCTAAGGCTCAAAGAACAGGGGCCCGCCCTCACTGCATCAAAACGCGGTGTTTGAAAGCGAGGAAGTGTAGAAAGGAAAGAGCCCACAATAACTAGTGAGAGGAGGTGCAGCTTGGTTCGTGTCCTCGGGCGCTCGAGGACGTGTGTGTTGCCTCAATGTTCTTTTAATGCGCGCCCCCGCCGAAATACACTGCAAATACACCATACACGCGAGATGCGTCGGCAGCGACGCGCACGACCTCTTAAGAAGCACCGTGTCGTTAGGGTTAGGGTTAGGGTTAGGGTTAGGGTTAGGGTCAGAGAGCGTTCAAGCCGTTGTGCAGCTCCTAAGAGAATGGTCCGGTTTGGGCCGAAACCAAATGGCGGAATCAGCGGTCCGTCGACACGAGCTCTCGGTGAACGCTTTGGGTTCTTCGGGTTAGGGTTAGGGTTAGGGTTAGGGTTAGGGTTAGGGTTAGGGTTAGGGTTAGGGTAAGGGGTTGGTTGTCGTCGCGCGCTCTCGATATCTGGCTAAGACAGAGACACAGCAGCAGAGGCGACCCAAGCGACACATCAGAGCATGGATGCTTGGGGGCGCGAGCCGCCATCTTGGACTGTGAGGCGAGTATTTGCAACCGGGAGCTCGCCGCCGCCCCTACACCGCCGCGGCCGCCCTCCGCTCCCGGTGGCAAATAATAGCCCAAGTCGAAGAGTGCGCCCCGCCCTCGGTATCTGGGCGGCAGGCGGGACTAGAGTGGCACGATGGTGCACGGATGGGGGCGCGAGCCGCCATCTTGGACTGTGAGGCGAGTATTTGCAACCGGGAGCTCGCCGCCTGGACTACAAAAACTGCGATCTCAGTGCCCCAGCACGCAAAATTTTCTCTGCGGGGCTACCGCCCCGCACCCCGCCTGGGATGAATTCACACCTCTCAACAGCTGTTCACACTTGGAAAACTCATCGGATTTGGGCCACTTGCCTGGGCGACCCCAGACCCTTGGCGGACGATCATGACGTCGGCCGGGACCCCCCGTGCGGGGGCCTTCGGCAGGCCCCAAATGACGTGTGAGTGTTAGAGTTGTTTGGTATTGCTAAAAATCTCTCTCGGGACTGGCGCGCACTGGAAAAAGAATTTTGCGCGCATGGGCACCCTAAAATAACGCAGGGGCCCTCAGCGGAGCTGGGAAATAGGACCGCCGCAAGCGGCGTGGCGTGGAGCGGTTGAGCGTCCCTCCGGGGGCCCCTCTGCGCCGGGGAGGCGTTGTTGCAGGAGTTAGGCTGCATACATGCTTCCTCGCTCACCCCGTCTCGTTTCCTTTCCGTGTTTCTCTACAGCACCCTCTCGTTTCCTCTTTAGTTTCCCGAGGAAACTCCGTGGAAATCAGCTGGTTTGGGCCCAAAATCAGCCAAATCGGCAAAATACCGGGGTATTTTGCGGGTATGTAAAATAAATAAAAACTGACTCCAAGTGCTCCAAGTGACACCTCTCTACTGTGAGATGGGTAAAAAGGAACAGGTCCCCGCCCTTGCGATCTTTGTGCAGGGTTCTTTGTGGGTGTGGCCGGCGACTAGCCGGGGTCGTCCTCCCGATGGGGGACTAGCACTAGCCGTCTTCCACATGGTCCCTCGGGTCCCTGCTGCTCCTAATCTCGTCGTACATCCTCCTACTGATCTCCGCAAAGTCCTGCTCCCTCCCTCGTCTCGCCCTGCGCGTTTGCTCCGCCTCCCCGTCGTCTGCCCTGCGTCGTCTGGCGACGGGTCCTCCATAGTCGGTCGAGGTCGCCGCCCTCCTCGGGTATGTATGTAACTGTATGTAGAAAGATTTAGGTTTTGGGGCAGAGCGAGTGGGAGAACTTTTCGACTGTCGTGGAGGTCGTGGTACCTGGAAAACCCCGGGTATACCTGGAAAATACCCGGCTAGTTTGCCGGTTTCCTCGATTTCGCCTCAGATTTTGCCCCAGACCAGCTCTCCAGACTCAGGGAAACTCGAGAGTTGCTTGCCAGAATGGAGCTCCAAACACCCCCTGGTCGTTCCCCGGAAATTTCCGGAAAACGAAAAGTGCACAGCCGGGAGGCGAAGCGCACACGCCGGGAGCCTCGCTAGAACCGGCCTCTCTAGAGCTGAACTTCTCCCTTCCTCCCTGCCTGTGTGCGAAGTGTGCGCCTGCGGCGCGATTTTTCCTCCCTATGCCTCGAAAAATGCATATTTTCGCCCACGCCGGGAGCCTCGCTAGAACCGGCCTCTCTAGAGCTGAACTTCTCCCATCCTCTGTGTTGCGCCTGCGGCGCGATTTTTCCTCCCTATGCCTCGAAAAATGCATATTTTCGCCCGGGTGCTGGGGACCCTCTCGTTTCCTTTTTGGTTTCCGGAAACGTGTATGCAGGCCAATGGCTAGGACACAAGCGTCCCACCGTCGCCTTTTTCAAACTCGGGGCCCACTCCGCTACGCTCGCTCCGACCCGAATAGCGAATTTGGAGGGCCATGACATGCCCCATGAAATTTAAGGTGTTGCTGCGCAAAACCAAAAGGGGCGGGGCGCGGGCGCGCGCGGCAGACGCCGAGAGTTCTTTTTGGAGACCAGACCTTTTGCGAGATGGTTCATGCTTTCTATGTCTATCTATCATGCTTCATGACACGACACGCGGTGTGGTGGGAGCTGGTGGAGCTGTCAGCTGATCGATCCAAGCGGGTGGGGAGTGGGGGGCATGGCTGGGCATGCAGGTCCGCCACACCGCCAGTCGGCCCGCCGGCCTCTGAGCTCTGTGCTCTGTCTGACGTGGTTGGTGCTGCCGCTCGCTGCATTCGCTGAAGAAGAGAGGTGCGAGACTTGATTGGAGGCACTTTTGGAGGTGGCACTGGAGGCGAGGCGAAGGGAGGTTGGGCTGGGCCGTGAGGGGGGCTCATTGCGCTTTTCGAGGTGGTGCAAACAAAAAAAAGAACTAAAAACGCTGTCGGGTGAAACGCTCGGCCGGCCCCAGTGGGTGTTTGTGGGTCAGAACAGCGGACATGAGCATCTTCCGCGGCTCGCCGCTCAAGCGAAAGGGGACGGTCGAGAGCCTGTTCCGTTTCGGCCTCGACGAGGAGGACCGCGTTGTGCCCCTTTCCGCGCTTGAGGCGGCCCAGAGCGGCGCGCACAAGTTGGATGTCTTCTCTGTGCGTGGACGGCCCTTCATCGCGGGTGGTGCGCAGCGCCCTGCGTCGCGAGCGCGCTCCCGCGAGCGCGCTCTCACCGCCAACCTGCCGCTCGCTCGCAGCGGGGGGGAGCTCCTCGGGCAGTCCCGCGCCTGGCAGGGCAGAGCAGGGCTCGCCAGCGCATGAGCGCCCCACGACGCCGTCAGCGCGGCGGCCCGCGCGACGGTCGGCCGGCGCCTCGCCCATGAGCGCCTCCGCCGCCTTCGTCGCCGACGAAGAGGACACGGCGCTCTTTCGCAACAACTTGCTGGTACGCGCCCTTCCCCCTGGACCAGCGTCGCCACACCAGAGTCAGTTCAGTCTGCGCGCTCCCCGCGCGCGCGGAGCGAGCCGGATCCCTGAGCGTGCAACGGGACTGTACTCCTGAGCGTGCGTGCGGCTAACCCCTCGCGCGCGCGCGCGCCCGCAGCACGAGTGCTGGAAGCCTGGGCTCAAGAGGGAGGAGGTGCAGCACGCCCTGACGCTGTGGGAGCGCAAGCTGGTCGAGGTGTTCCACCGCTGGACGCACCCGGAGATCTGGATCGGCTTCAAGCGGCGCGCCGCCTCGCCCTCTCGTCAGCGCCCGCGCAAAACCACACCCGCCGCCCGCCCGCCCGGCTCCGCGATGCCCTCCCTCGGCGGGCGAGTGTGTGCACCTCGGGGCCGCTTCTCAGCGCCTCCGCTAAGGCCGCTCCTCGCTGCAGGTGGAAGAACCGGACGAACGACCTCGACCGGATGTGCGACATCCTAGATGCGGAGTCCATGCCCCCCCCTCTCCGCGAGCAAGCCCTCGAGAAGACGCGCAACCCACCGCGTGCAATTGCACTCCCTCCCCACTCCCTCCGACGCCGCCGCTTCACTGGGAGCAATCCCGCGAGCGGGTACGCAGTGCGCGTGAAGCCTGCCTTTCGGCGCATTCACACCCTACTCTGTGAATACGTTTTCCACGTATTCCAAATGACCTCCCAGAGGCCTGTATTCCACCCGTATTCCACCCGTAATTCCACGTATTCCATGGAATACGCCGTATTCCAAGCTCCAAAAATGGACGTATTCCGTATAAAATTTTCCTCGCTCCGCGAATTCACAGAGTAGGATTCACACTCTAGGCGCTACATCCTCGCCGTCGCACGAAACTACCACGAGCGGCGCTCGTGGGCCCGCTGGCTCGCGGCGGCGCCCACGCTGCAGCCGGCCATCGACCGCCACCGCGTCCGCGCCAAGCTTCGGCAGTGGCTGCGCTGGCACGCGGCTTGCCTGAGGCTCCGCAAGGCGGCGGCCGGATTCGTGTCCCACGCGCCACTGCACGCGCTCAACCAGTGGCGGGCGCACGTCGCGGAGCGGGTTGTTTGGGTCGAGCGCGTGAGCGCCGCCGCCCAGGTCTGGCGCGGCGGCCAGCGCGCCGCCCTCTGCACGTGGAAGCGGAAGCACCGGGCGGCTGCGCCAGCCCGCGCCGCCGCCCGCCGCTTCCTGCACGCCGCTGCCAGCGCCGCGTTCCGCACCTGGCGGGACGGGTACGCTGCGCGGCGTTCGCGAGCGAGGACGTCCCTCCAACACTGGAGGCGCCGCGGCGAGGTGCGGGCCTTCGTCCGCTTGCGGGAGCTCTCCCGGCAGCGCAGGCTCGCGTCGGTCGCGGCGGCGCGCCTTCAGAACGCGCGCCGCGTCCGCGGTTTCAACTCGTGGGCCGCGGCGCGCTCGGACGCCGCCGCCCGCCGGGCCAAGATGCGCATTGCTGTTGGCGTGCTCGGCGGCTCGAAGCAAAGCGTGGCCTTCCGGTCGTGGGCGGCCGCGGCCTTGCGACGCTCTGCTGGCAAGGCAACCCTCCTCCGCGGCGTTGCGGCCTTCCGCCACCGCACGGCGAGGCGGGGCTGGAGCTCCTGGGCGACGCGGGCGGCTGAGCGGCGCCGACGGCACGCCATCATGTCCGATGCGGCGGTCGCGCTCCAGGGCTCTAGGGCGCGCAAGGCGCTCCGCACGTGGACGGCGGCGGTGGCGTTGCCCGATTGCATGCCAAAGGCGGTGTTGCGGTGGCGGCAGGGGGCGCTCAGCAAGGCGTTTCGTGCGTGGGGGGAGCTGTGGGTGCGCGCCAGCCTCCGGCGGCGCGCGCTGGCGGGCTGGCGGCACGGCGGGCTTCGGCGCGCGCTCGTGAGCTGGATGCATTGGCTCGCCGAGCGGCTCGAGCGGCGCGCCCGCGTCGAGGCGCTCCTCTCACGCATGGCCAATCGGCCTCTGCTCAAGGCGTGGAACCGGTGGATCACCACCGCCGGCGGCTGGCTAGTTGTGGACGCGGCAGCCCAGCGGGCTGGGAGGGTGGCACGGCTGCAGCTCGCGCGCGCCTTTGACACGTGGTACGCCAGCCACGCCAGTGTGGCCATGATGCGACGCGCGCTCGCTCACTTGGCGCACCGCGGCCTGCTGGTCGGTATGACCGCGCTGTGGGACTACGCCCAGTCACAGGAGCTCGCCGCGCGCGCTTTGCTTGGCTGGCGCTCCAACGGCCTCCAGCGCGGGATGAATCAGTGGGTGGCCCACACCGAGCAGCGCCTCGGCATGCTCGCCGGCATGGCCGAGGCCGTCGGCACTTTCCGCAACACGTCCCTCTCGCGGGCGTGGAACTCGTGGGTCGATGCGCCGCCGCCGCTTCCGGTGCAGTCTGCGAAGCGCATGCTGCACCGAGCTCTGTCGAGGGCGATTGTCACTTGGATGTCAGCGACCACCCGCCGGATCATCATGCTCAACGCCTTCGGCGGACTCTGCAAGCGCGAGCAGCGGCGCGCTCTCAACGCGTGGGCTTCCTTCGTCGCTGAGCGGCGCGAGGCGCTCGCGCTGACGGAGCGAGCGCTGTGCCGGATGGCTTCGCCGCTGCTCAAGCCCTTCAACGCGTGGGCTGCGGGGCTTGCGCTTCTCGGCCCGCTGCGCGCTGGACTCGCGCGCTTGGCCCGCCAGATGGAGGCCAAGGCGTTGGGGCAGTGGAGCGCGCACGCGAGCCGCCGCCGCGACCTGCGGCGGCGGGCGGCGTCGCTGGTTCGGTGCGACGACGCGCACGCGCTGCGCCGGTGGCGCGCTGTGGCGAGCGCGCGGTCTGCAAGGTTGCGCCGACTCGAGGGCAAAGCACGCGCGGTGCTTGCGGGGCCCCTCTCCAAGGCGGTCAACACTTGGCGGCCTTTGGGGCGGAGGTACGCGATTGCGCACCGCGCGCTATCGGCCATGTGCTTGCGCAGGCTCGGCGCGGGCTGGCGAGGGTGGCACGCGGCGTGTACCGTGGCGCGGGAGCGGCGGCAGCGCGCGCAGGTGGCGCTACGCAAAATGTCTCCCCGCGGCCGCGCGCAATCTAAGGCGGTCAACGCGTGGAAGGCGTCGGCCGGGTTTCGCCGCAGGCAGCGCGCGAGCCTTGCACGGCTGCGGCGGCAGCGCGAGACGCATGCGGTGCACCGCTGGCGTGCGGTGAGTTGCGAGGCGGCGGCGCGACGGGAGCAGCTCGCGGTGGCTCTGCACAAGCTCTCGCCCGAGGGGAGGGCCAAGCGGTCCGCACTCGACCAGCTGCGTGCGTGCGTGGCGCGTGCCGAGCTGGTGAACCCCCCCCCTCCCCCCCCCCCCCCGCCCACGCCCCGCCCCTCCCGCGTCGAACTAAGTTTGCGCTTTCCGCGCTCTCTGCAGATGCGAGGCGCAGTCGTCCGCCTTGCCAACCGGCGGCTCTCTGCTGGATTCGAGTCGTGGCAAGGCACTACCGAGCAGAGCGCACACATTCGCGCCCAGCTCCGCGCAGTCCTGCTGCGGCGGCTTGCCACCTCCTTCGCGGCGTGGGTGGAGGCTCCGCCGCATCCGGCTCACAAGGTGATCGCGCGCCTCGCCAACAAGCCGTGCTCGAGGGCCTTCAACACGTGGCTCAGCAGGTACCAAGGGGCCGTGTACGCCCGCCGCTCGCTCCGCCATTTTGCGACTTGCAACGGCGTCCGCGCCCTCCGCTCATGGCGCGAGTTCGCAGAGGGGCGCAGCCTGGCCGCAGCCTCCCTCCGCCGGCTCCACCACGCCGGGCTCTTGCGAGGGTGGAATGGGTGGGTCGCCTATGCCGAGGAGCGCTTTGACACGCTGTGCGCCATGCAGGAAGCCGCAGGCTCCTTCCGGCACCAAGGCCTCTCCAAGGCGTGGAACGCGTGGCTCGCCCGGCTACAGCGCGCGGCAGACTCGCCACAGCGGCGCGCGATCGCCCTCTTCGCCAGCAAGGCGGCTGCGAGCGGCTGGCGCTCTTGGCAGGAGTTTGCCCGGATGACGCAGCTCCAGCGGCGCACCGCCTCGGCGCTCACTGGTCGGCGCCAGCGCGCCGGGCTGAGCAGCTGGCTTGAGTGGCTGGCAGAGAGGGCGGCGCGGCGCGAGAGGTCTTGCGCCGTGATGGGTCGCATGCGTTCCCCGGCATCGCGCGCCTTCAACAGCTGGGCGAGTGAGCACGCCTTCGCCGGCAGCGTGCGAGGTGCCTTGCGTCGCCTCCGCCATCGCGACCTCTCCCGAGCTTTCGAGGCTTGGCAGGCACGCGCTGGCGAGCAGAGGGTCGCCCGCCGTGGTGCTGCGACATTTCTACACGTCTCGTCGGCACGCGCTTTCCGCGCGCTCAAGGCGTGCGCGGCACGGCGGGCAGAGGACAGGGAGCTGACGCGCCGTGCGCTGCTCAAGACGACGCCGCTCGGTGCTGCGTTCGCGGCGTGGACGCGTCACCTCGCCGCCAGCCAGCCGCTGCGGCGGGCGGCGACGCACTTTTTCAAGGCGAGCCGCCGCGCCCGCCACCGTTCCCGCGAATCCGCCGCGCCCCGCCACCGCTCCCACGCCACCGCTCCCACGGATGCGCTCCCCTTCAATCTCTCCAAAACGTTCGTTTTCCTCTCCCGCCCGCAGGTGTCGCTGGTCCGCGCGCTCAACTCTTGGGAGGCGTGCCGCACGCAGCGGCGACTCATGCGCCGCGCCGCCGGTTCTCTCTTCCAAAAGGAGGCCGCCGCAGCGCTGCGCACGTGGGCTGCCTCCATCGCCGAGGCAGCAGCACGCCGCGAGCGGGCGCGCGCAGCTTTGTGCCGTATGACTCCAGCGGGCCGCGCCAAGGCACGAGGGATTGCGCGTTGGTCCGCAGCGGTCGCAGAGCGGCGTCTCCTCCGGCGCGGCGGTGCCGCGTTCCTCCACGCCGGTTCGCTGCGCGCCCTTAACCTCTGGCGCGGCCGCACCGTCGAGGCTCAAGTGCAGCGCACGGCGCTCGCCCGCGCGCTCAACCGCCACCTCCGCTTTGCGCTTCGCCGGTGGCGCGCCGCGTCGCAAAAGGGGCCCGTCGTTTCGCCGGCCACGAGGGCGGCGCGCCGGATGCAGCAGACGGTGGTGGCACGCGCGTTCGACACGTGGTTCTCCAACCTCGCCCCCGCGCGGTTGGCCAAGCGTTCGCTCGCGCATTTCGTCCACCGCGAGCAGAGCCGCGCGTTCCTTGCTTGGGAGGCGCGCTACGACGAGGCACTGATGATGGCGCAGGCGCCTAGATGCGGAAGACGCATGCCTTAGTCAGCACTAGTGAGCGCGCCCTTGCACTCCCGGAGACGCAAGAGTCAGGATTGCAAGTCTGTCCTGTAGGCGCAGGCGGTCCTCACGATGAGGCAGCAGTGCCTCTCCCGCGCGATGCGCACTTGGGCGAGCTCCCCTGCGCGAGGAAGCTCCAAGATTGAGGCGGCGCTCGCCGGAATGGCGGCACCGGGTCTGCGCCGCGCGCTCAACGCGTGGGCCGACCACTCAGAGACGAGACGGTTGGCTCGTCGCATCGCGGCGCGCGCGTTACACGCCGGCAAGGCGCGCGCGCTCAACAGTTGGCTCGACCATTTGCGACGATTGGAGCCGTTGCGGCGCGCGGCGGCGCACTTCACTGGCCAGGGGACCGTGCGCGCATGGAACGCGTGGGAGAACCGCATCGCCGAGTTGCGGTTGCAGCGTCGTGCCGCCGCCGCGATGGTGGGCTCTGGCCTCTACCGCGGCTTCTCTGGCTGGCGCGCGCGCATCGCCGAGCGGGCAGAGCGCCTAGATGCCCCCCCCCCCCCCCTCTTGGTATTCTAGCAAGCAGTCGAGGCGAGGCGACATGGGAATCTGTGGCACTCATGGAATGGCATTGTGCTATAGCTCACGTGATGGTGCGAGTACATTGCACGAGGCGTCCTCTGACTCTGTTGCACTCACCGCCGCAGGCGGAGGAGGCGGAGTGGCTCCGTGGTGTCGCGGTGCGCCTCACGTCGCGGCTGGCGCACGGGTGGGCCGCGTGGCTCGAGCATTGCGAGCAGTGCGGGATGGCGCGCCGAGCGCTCGCCGGTTTCTCGCGCGGCGCCGAGCGGCGCGGGCTCAACTCGTGGCGAGGCTACGTTGACGAGCTTGCGGCGAGGCGGGAGCTGCTACGAGTCGCGGCCGTCCGCTTCTCCTCCAAGCTGGACGACGCTTGGGCGGCGTGGATCGACTTTGTGAGTGAGCGCGAGCTGATGCAGCGCGCGGCGGCGCCAATGCGCGCGGTCGGCCTCAAGCGCGCCCTCAACTGCTGGGCGGCCACCGTCGAGGAGCGGTTCGAGCGCCCTAGATTGCCGAACTCGTCTCTCTGGTTTGCGACCAGCGCCCGAGAAAACGAGAAAGCTCATATTCGGCGGCGCACGTATCGATCTCACACGCTAGTCGTTCGCTGTACGTCGCAGCTAGTCACTCGAGGCGCTGAGATTACCCGAGATTACCCGAGATTACCCGAGATTACCCGAGATTAGTCACTCGAGGCGCTGGGGTGCAGCGCAAGAGGGGGTGTGTTCCGCAAGATCACCGTAGGCTCGAGCGGCTCGACAGGGTCGCCTCCTTCCGGCGTAATGTCCTCGACGGGATGCGCGCGGCGCTCGGGCGGTGGAAGGAGCACCAGGCCGCTCTGCGGCCGGGGCGGCGCGCGCTCGCGCACCTCTCCAACCGTCGCACGTCCCAGGCATGGTGCTCGTGGTGTGCTTTGCTCGTCGAGTTGGCTCGCAAGGAGGCGGCGCTGCTGTGCATGCTGAACGCCGCGCTGCGGCGCGGCTTCAGATCGTGGCGCGCTTTCCACGCGCAGCGGCAGCTGATGCGCCGCGCCGCTTCGGGATTGCGGCACCACAGTTTGCGCCGCTGCTTCAGCCGGTGGGAGGGCTCCGCCGAGGCGCGTGCCGAGAAGGCTCGGATCATGCGCGGCAAGCTCTCGATCGCGTTTGGGATGCGGCGGCAAGAGGCACGCCCGCGCCCACGCCGCACTGCTCAGCACGTTCTGCTCCGCGCCGCGCGATTCCGCGCGTCGCCCGACCCCCCCTTCCGCCCGACCCCCCCTTCCGCCCGACCCCCCCTTCCGCACTCTTTCCGCCCGACGCTTCCCCCGCTCTACACAGGCCCGCGCGCTCAACTCGTGGAAGCACGCGATGTACGAGCGCCGGCGCATGTTGCGCGGCCTCGCGTCCTTCTTGCACGCCGAGACGGCCCGCGCATGGCGTTGCTGGCTCGCCGCGCGCGCGCACGCTTCTGAAGCGCGCCGCCGGATGACTCGTGTCCTGCTAGTGCGGCAGCGCCGTGCATTCAACAAGCTGCGCGCGTGCGGCTGGACGACCGGCAGAGTCGCGGCTTCGGTGGCGCATTGGCAGCGCCAGGCCGAGGCTGCCGCCCTCCAGGGTTGGCGCGGTTACGCTGATCGTGTGCGCCTCAAGCGCCGCGCGCTGACTCGCTTCGTCCTCGCGTCTCAAGTCCGCGCGCTTGGCCATTGGACCTAGATCGCGAATACATGCCCCGTCTCTTCCAACGTGCGTGCGTTCGGACAGACATTCGTGCGGCCGTTGCATTCACGCGATGCTCCGAACACACACAGCGCGCCACACCCTCACTGGTTGTGTTCACACCGCAGGCATTTGGAGGGTCCACGCGGCGGAGAGCGCCTTGATGGCGGCGGCTGTCTCCGCGCTTCGCAACCGCGAGGCACGCGCCGCCTACAATTCGTGGCTGTGGTGGCTCGAGGCGCGCAAGGCTTCGGCCGAGAAGATGCGCGCCGCCATCGCCGCAATGGCATTCTCGCGAGGGCGCGCGGCGGGTCGTCGCGCCTCCTCGCTCAGGCAGCCTCGCCGGTCTGTAGGTTGGCGTCAAGATGCGGGCGGCGCTCAACTCCTGGTGCGCGGAGAAGGAGCGCACCGCGCCACTGCGCCGCGGCGCCGCCCGCTGGGCGAACCGGCCCGCGGCGCGCTGCTTCATCAAAATGCGCGAGTTCGGGCGCGAGCGGCAGCGGCTGCGATCCCAAGTCCACCGGATGCGGCACCAGCAGCTCGTCGGCTGCTTGCGCAAGTGGCGCGCCGGCAGCGATGGCCGCCGCAGGCGTGCGGGCTGCGTGCGCGCGATTCAGAACCCGCCCGTGCGGCGCGCCGTGAACACGTGGGTGGCGATGGCTGCGCGGCGCCAGCGGCTCAAGGCGATCATGGGCACGCTCGTCGACCCGTCCAAGCGCCGCTCGCTCAATCGGTGGAAGGCCGTCACACGGTTCAGACTAAGGCCGGGCTCTCCGCCGCCGACGCCGCGGGCTCCGATGCGGCTAATTCAAGCGATGACGTGGCGGCAGGCGTGTGATTGCCCAATCCAACCCACTCTGCGCAACGGAACCCCACTCTCATCAGCCGCTGCCCCCCCCCCCCCCCCAACCCACCCGGAGCAAGGCTTGCACTTGGCTGCAATCGATCGGGTGCGACGTCTCGCGTTCGCCGCCGACGCTCCTCCGCGCGCTCAAGGAGGGGCTCGTCTACCAGCAGCTCGTGCGGACAATCTCGCCATACTACTTTATGCGGCACAAGGTTTCGACGTCGCACGAGCGCGGCGCGGGTTCCGTCTTTGTCATGGTGCAGCAGTTTTTCGACACCGAGGCCGTCATTGCGGTGGTTGGCTGCCAGAAGCTCGACATCAAGGCGCTTACCGCTGGGAAGGCACCGCTCGCATTGCCCCCTCGCCCTCGCACTCCTTCCGCTTTGAGGTCCTCGTTGTGCGCCGGCTGCAGGCGCGCGAGCACCTCGATCTTGTGCAGACTTTCCGCACCGTCCACAAGGCGCGGCGCAGCGAGGCGCACCACGGTGGGTGGTAGAGACTGAACTGAACTCTCCGGAGATGTGTTCCCACCCCTCCCCCTGTCACGTCTCACGTGTCTCAGTTTGGTGTTTGTTTGGGGGGAGGGGGGGGATTGAAAGGGGGAGATGAAATGCGCAGTCAACGAAAACACTTGAAAAAAGAAACGAAAAAAAACGCCGGGTGAGCGCCCGACACTGCAGCCGAGGACGCCCCGCCCCGGCCGTCTTGGAGGCTGGGGAGCTTTGGGGCGCCTCTGCCAATGCTGGCGGAGGACTGTGCTGTCGCGCTTGCGGGTCGTTTCGCGGCTGGCTCGTTTCGCGAAGGCGACTTCAGCGACGCTGATCTCTTCACTGCGGGCGTGCTACCGCCGCCGCCCCCGCTGCAAGGTACGGCTCCAAATCTCGTCCACCCGGTGCCCGTCGTCCACCCGGTGCCCGGACCGCCGCAGCTGACATCACGGCACTTGCTCGAGTCGCCAGCCCTGTTCGCTGCGCACCCAGCCACGCACTCAGCGCTGCAAGAGGGCGGCGGACATGTCCTTGTGAGAGAGGCCCTCTATGCGGGCGAAGGGTTTGACGCTGCTGGCGAGGATGGATACGTCGCGGCGGCGCCGGTGCCGCCGCCGGTGCCTGAGTCGGGAGCCGCGCCCCTCGCCTCTACCCCGGGGTACCTTTCTTCGGCGTTGCCTTGCCCGGCCGGCTACTTCCTCGCTGCGAGGTCTGTGGGAGGGGTGCCTGTTGTCTGTCCCCCGCTGCAGGGCGTGGTCTATCCCCCGCTGCAAGGCGGATGGGCCAGCTTGTGCCCCCCTGTCACGAGGGCGGCTATGCTCGAGCAGCTGTTGCAGCAGCAGCGACAACAGCAGCAGGCGCAGCAGCAACAGGCGCAGCAGCAGCAGGCGCAGCAGCAGCAGGCGCAGCAGCAGCAGGCGCAGCAGCAGCAGGCGCAGCAGCAGCTCGCGGCGCAGCTTCTCGGCGCCGTCTCTTCCGCTTCGCTGCCGCCGGCGAGCCACTTCGGTGCGGGCGGCTACGCCGAAGGAGCGGGCCACCCGTCGCCCCCCGCAAGCTCCTTCGCGCTCGACAACCTGGCGACACCTTCCTTCCACCAGTCGGCGTTGGACAACCTGGCGACTCCCCCGTTGCAGCAGTCGGTGCTCTTGCCCCCCGGCGTCCTCCCTGAGGCGACGTCCCTAGATGTGTGGAATGCGGATCCTTACTCCAGCCTCTCCCTGAGGCTACACGTATTCGACTCATGAACACGTCTCTCATGAACACGTCGTCAGCCCTCGTTTTCGCCCGAGGCAGAGCACGTCCCGGAACACGTCGTCAGCCCTCAATTCCCTTGGATCCATCACTAGGTGCCCGTCCGCGGAGTCGAGCCGCTCTTCTCGCCGCTCACCGCGTCATTTGGCGTGCCGCCAACACCACCGGTCACTTCGGCCGCTGCAGAGATCTCTCTCGGCGGCGGCGTGGCGGGGGGCAGCGGTTTCGTGTCGTCCACGGGAGGGGCTCCCATCTACCTGCCTCCGCTCGCTTCCTCGATGGTCACGATGGTGCCTGCGCAAGGCTACCCCTCCCCGCCGCACCCCGGCGGGCTGATGTCCGTGCTGCCGCCGCCGTTGCCGCCGGCAGAGAGCCCTCTCATTCTTCCGTCTCCCCTCGGCGTCGCGACGGCTTTCGGCATGCCTCCGCGCCTCGGCGTACCGTCGCCACTGCCGGGCGCGTGTGGCTACGCCCCGTCGCTGCCCATGCTAGTCAGCGGGACCGGCAGCGTGCTCGGCGACTCTGCCATCCTGCAGGCGCGGCACAGGCCCGCCGCCTCGCGCGCACGCCGCTGCTTGCGTGGCGCGGCGGACGCGCGCGACCGGAGCGGGCCTCGCGCCTCACACGCCGCTCTCTCTTGCCCTCCTCGCCGCAGGACAAGGGCTACGGGGTCGCCGCCGCCGCGCGAATTGGCCGCACCCACCTCCCGCTCAACCAGAGCTACCCACGGCTGGTGAGGGACGCTCCTCGGGAGATATGGGGAGATATGAGGAGATATGGGGGAGATATGGAGACATGTGCGGCGCGCCTTGGTCTCGGGAGATATGGGGGATATGGGAGTCTCGAGATCGAGACGTGCCCCTCCTGCTCTTTCTCCACGATTTTCCGTCTGCACCGCTTCAGCGGCCGTGCCCC